CCCCATTTGAGCAAATTCACACAGTTCATATCTCCCATACTTATAAACATCGTACAATTTTGAAATTTAAAGAAAAAATTACGGTTTTTCCCAAAAAGTTTTTTAAACTTTTTAACAAGATAAAAAAATTCATAATATTTACGTGGAATAATAGGTTTTCAAACTCTTGACAACATTTAAGAGTTTTTTCATGCAATTTTTCAACCAGTTTTGCAAAGTTCTTTCAAAAATAAAAATTTTCATAAAATTCACTTAAAACAATAGGAGTTCCAACTCTTGCAGACATTCAAAGTTTTTTCATGTATTTTTTTACAAGTTTTTTGAAGTTATTTCTAAAATAAAAATTTTCATAAAATTGACGTAAAATAATAGGTTTTCAAACTGTTAAAAACATTTAAGAGCTTTTTCATGCATTTTTAAATGTTTTTTTTTACTTTTTTTTAATTAAAAAATTACATTAAAATTACTTAAAATAATAAATTTTCAAACTGTTCAAGCCTTTTAAGAAATTTCTTACGTATTATTTTAAGAGTTTCTTAATTGTTTCTTTAACACTTTAATCAACCGTAAATTAGAAGTAAAATTTAACGTAAAATTCTCTTTTTTTAATCGTCACGGTTATTTTAAGAGTATTTTAATTAAATTTTACGTAAATTTTAAGAATTCTTAAATTTTACGTTTTTTTTAAGAGTTCTTTCAAAAGTGAGTGCTACTAGGGTAAATTGCAAATTCCTCGCACATATAACATCTCCATTGGGCCAAAATGCACCGATATCAATACCTCATATGTTACTTGGTTCCTCAAAAATTCTCCTCTTGGACTTAGCCTAAAAGTGTGGACACTTTTTAGGCTCCGGCGAAACCTAGAGTCTATACGGCTTCACCGCACGACTAAAAAGCAAGATCTGTAGTCTTGCAAGTGCAACTGCTTGCTGTAAAAGTTCAGTTCCTTGCCCATTGATAATAAATAACCAATCAGAAAGATTCGAATTGAGGCAACTATTAAGTGGCCACTACAGATTTTTATTGAGTATTTGGTATAATATTGCCTGTGAGTTTGGCAATTGTCAAAAATTTCAAATTTAAGACCCAATGAACTTTTTTTAGTCATTTTTAGTTTGTGCAATTTTAAAAAGTCAAGAGAACACTTAGTTAACAGAAATTTTCCAGTTAAAAAACAGTTTCAAAACTGTTTATTGTATGTACTGTCAGAGTTAGACCACTGTGCAGATCATAATGCGTACCTGAATTGCTGTAGACCTAAAAGCCACTCTATATCTGAGTGTAAAAACTTCATACGTTCTAACCACTCTTCTTTGGCACCGACAGGAAAAGACCCATCACTTTCAGGACTCGGAGGTGGCTCATAAAGTGTGAAGAGTTTGGACTCAGCCCATTGTTTATCCTGCAAAAAACTCGTTACCTTAGTAAACATGAGATATATTTATTCAGCTGTGAAGCCTGCAGTGTTATGATGGTCAGATTTATATACACTGCTGATTGTAAAGTTACCGAAGAGGATAATATAGACAGAAGAGAATTGAAGGAGAGTAATTTTTTGTGTTTTAGTAAAAAGTAAAATTGAACTAATCCTTATTTTCATGCATTCATCTATGACTGGAATACTTTATGCAGTTGAGAACTAAAACTGGCTTATTATTGAAACAACATAAGTGCCAATAGTTTCCCTATGCAGATAGATGTTCATATGCAGGGCTAGAAATAGTTCTTCATTGCAAAATGCAGTCCAATTACTTGGTTGGAATTTTGGAGATCGTGTTATTGCGTCGATAAAGGTATCATAACTTCCTCACTCAGAAGAAAAATAATTGCAAAGAGTGACTTTTTCGCTTCATGGGAAAATTTTCCAAATAGGAGGAAAATGTATGCACATGGTCCAACAATCAGAACCACACATTTGGTTTTCTACAATCGACCATGTTCACCATAGCAGCAAAAATGGAAAAGAGCTATTGGTTGAAAATTCTCATATGAAAGTGGTAGGTTGTGCTTGGTAGTTTAACCTGGGTCAAGAATTTTTGGTCTCTAGGATTAGAGGAAGAGAAAGTTTATCAAAAAGTTTATGATAAAATATAAAAAAAATGAATGACAAATATATTCGTGATCTACGACTCGAGATCGGTGCTCTTTACATGGTCCCAGGTCTAGGTCTCACCATGAAGGAGAACGCAATAGTGTATCTTTCCTTCGGAAAATACACCAACAAGGGATAATTTAACTTACTTCAAGTTGCACAAGACAACGGTATGAGCAACTTCTGTTTCTTTGCAAGCTTATGATTCAAAAGCTTGGGAAACAAATTTGATAGTGAGAAATTGGCAAAAAGAGTGTCCATTTGTACAAGATGTACTAATCTTTTGCAGAGAAACACGTGTACCTTTGTCTGATTTGCCAAAAATGACAACCATTTCAAAATGCATGTTTGATTTTTTTAAAAAAAAAAAAAATATTAAATACGTACCAAAGCTGGGATATTTTTGGAAACACCATCAACCACTTTCTTCAAAGTTAAACATTCCAAAGCTAAACAGTTTGGATTCTGTGGAGCAAAACAAAAAACAAATGTAAGGTACTGTGGAGTACTCAATGATTACAAAAGAAATAAGAATTTTCTGTTCAGATCATGGTAAAGATATCCTGGCAGGCAGATCAGGAAAAAATTGAACCTATTTGATGGTGAGCACAGGGGCTGATTTAGACGTTGGCCATGTGCCTATGGGCTGAACGCTGTTTGCAGCTCTTTTCAGCGAAGGAAAATGTACAAATTAGCCACTTGCCTGAAAATCAAGGAGGGCTTCATAATTTTTTTTTTTACCTTTTGATTCCCTGTGATTTTGTTTTAAAAGGTTACTCTTTAGCTTACAATTTTTCGAATATCGACGGTGAAACTACCAAACCACGTATCTCGGTTTGCGATGTCGCAGACTTCCTGTCATACTTTATTTTTTAAATTAAAAACTACTTAACATCCAGTCTTGAAAATTTCTGTGATTTTTCCTCTTTTTGCGGAGAAAATTCCGTGAAAATTTCAAGGATTGATATTGATTTGGTCTACTTCAAAAAAATAAAATGTGAACGTAGATTTTTAAACACCGCAAACGAGATACGTGGTTTGGTAGTTTCACCGTCGATATGTTGTCTAAGGCCAGGAGAGAATGCTGGTTCTGCATATATTTCCCTTTGATACCTGATCTCTCAAGGACGGTTACATAGAAAAATCTGGAGTTAATCCAAAGATGGGGATCAAGCTCTCTTGGTTTAATGAAAACTCAAACAGCTTATGAGCTAGGAGAAAAAGAGAGACACTTGAAAGATTGTGACTGCGTGCCAGGAACCTAGCACTCAGGCTGTCCGCGCCGACACTGCGTCAACTGATATATTTCATTACAGCCACACTTAGTAGCCATCCCTCAAACCTCCTTCATTGAACTCTAATGTTCTTGATAATACCTCTGAAATGAGATGTAAAAAGATTGAGACTGATAACAGCTTTTCTAGACTCATATGCAATGATGGGGCTCAGCAATGGTTAAATTCAATATCTGGAGGGCGTGGGCTCTCTTATGGATTGACACCAAACTGTCGACAGGGATACAAATTTTCCATGGAGTAGAGTACAATCTTACACCTGTTTTCCTCAGCTGCTAACTGGTAGATAATATTTAACGCTACCTCCCATTCATGCTCATGTTAGACGTTTTAGTAGCTCAGTTGCCGTTCATATTCAAGATTCAGACTATAGGTGGTGAGTTAGGAAGATAAACTAACCAATGCTTTACTGATATTTCAGTTGAAGTCGAATATGAGGTGCTTAATAATAATATACTTACGACTTTGGAAAGATCATGTGTTTCCATCTCACAATCTAACCAAATTTGGTGCCACACAGGTTCAAGTGATGGAGAGACACTCTGTTTTCATGATATTCAACGACTTCAGATTGACTGAAAGTAGATACCGATCGTGACAGTATATCTAAAAAATTTAATAAAAATTAAACTGTGATAAAATACTGATAGTTTACACAAAATCACTGACGATCACATGTAAACATTGTTTTCTTTTTTGTTGACTTACTTCCTTTGCTTCCGGTTCAGTCTTCAGTCCATTCAGTTCCAACAGACGGAATCCAACCGGAAACACAAAAGCGCGGGAATTTCAAAATATTTAGGCGAATGGTTCAAAAGTGGTTTCAAATCTCGTCTCTCGTCTATTTTTTTCTCTTGTAATGCTTTACACGGTTTGTGAGACCAAATCCTGCACACTACAATTGTGTGTATATTTTCTTTTTTTTACCACTTCGTAAGTAGTCCACACGGTTGATTTCATGCTTAATCCTGAGGTGACTATTCCTGAAGACCATCAAACTCAGGTCACCTGACCGGAAATCACGCCCAGGACCTCTTGGTCATAGGGCCAGCGTTACAAAAATTGCTTCAAAGGAAGCTGACAAATCAGTCCATAATTCAAATCTGCATATCCAAATATTCATCCATTGTAACCCTAGGTGAGTCTAGTTTGAGATTATCAAGCGCATTAGATAAAATACAGCACTTAAAGCACATAAGTCCACTGCGCAAATTGGTAATCAGAGGCAACATAACAACCTTTCAAAGAATTGGATCAAATTTCTTTCGACAGATGGTTATATAAGCAACCCTCAGGCGCCGACTAGCATGCCGTAAGTGACCTTCGGCGAAGAGGTGACCCTGAGAACCTCAAATAGCAGGGTGCGGAGGCATCACTGAAGGGCAGCAACTCACTTGTATTTACCACAGCTCTGAAAACTATGCCTTTAAGACTGAAGATTAGATGTGGCCTTAGAGCATATAAAAAGTTTAAAATGTAATTATGGGACTGAAATTTCATCTGTGGCCTTTGAAAAAAAGCAACTTTAATTTTTTGTGTTTAATCTATTTGTATTTATTTACAACTTCATAATTGTAAAGAAATGGCTGTAGTATGTGACATTTTTTCCAATTAGGCTTGCATTGATTAGGTCTGACCTAGATCTGCCAACTGTGGTTTACGCTCAATTGATCTGCATCAAGCGCTTTTTTCTTTGATACAAAATCTTTAAAGTACAAATTGAATGAAGGAAGAATTTTTAGCCCTTACATCCTCGAGGAGGCTCTGATTTTAAAAGTTTTTTTTGAAAATCCAAGTCCTGGAACATTGTGTGGTAAAGAAATAATACCGAATTTCTATTTTACAAATTTTATTGTAATGTACTTAAATTAATTTTCAACAAGGAGGAATCTCAAAGTTCTAACAAGTCTTATTTCACAGGTGCTCCCTCAACTAGAACAGAACAGATTGTGAGAAAACTGGATACACAGTAGCTCTGCTTCATCTTGGATAAAACAGGAGTGATTGATTTATTACACTTAATTTACAAATTATACATCTATAGTAACAAGGATATAGGATAAATAAACAAGAAAGCAGGGGTGAAAAATCAGTTCCGATGATCAGGAAAAAGTATGAAAAATAGTCTATCGAGGAAAGGTTTTAATGATGGCTACCTAAACAGCTGCTGAATATCTACGCGATACTTCACTCCAGTTGACGATGTCCAAAATAGCTTTGGTGTATGAGGGGCGGACGTTTTTGTACTGCAGGTAGTAGGCGTGTTCCCAAACATCAATTCCAAACAAAGGTATCAAGCCTGGAAAAAAAAGCAAGAAGAATGTGATGACTTTTCTTCCTTGTTAATTTAAAATTTTGAATTCAGATTTGCAGAGCACTCTTGTGTCTTTCTTGAGTTACATATTGTGTAAAAAACTACTACGTTAGTAAGAAAAATACTCACCAGTTGTGGCTTGAAGTGGATCTTGATTAGCGGTGGTAGTCACTTGCAATTTCTTAGTCTGACTGTTAATTCCCAGCCATCCCCAGCCTGAGCCTTGAACACCATTTGACGCAGTCTGCAATTGGGTTTTAAGGTTGTCCAAGCTTCCAAAATCTCGATTGATTGCTGCCAGAAGATCATCTATTGTGACAGAAAAATGGCAGTGTGTTAATTATTTCTTTCAATGGAGTAACCTAGAGTACCTGAATAGCGAGAGTATGGACAGATGTGAAACTCCGAAAATCCATCAGGCCTTCACCGATGCTTCTGCGAATAAAGTTAGGGCCCAGAAACGCAGCCAACATATGAATTTCAATTATCCAGAACGATTTACTAATACTATTGTTACGAACTGTCTTTTATTAAGCACATGTTTGACTCAGTTTTTGCATACATTTACTCAACTTCGCGGATGAACGCTCATTTCTGTACATTCTTGGCCATCATGGTTAGAAATGGAATCTGCAGACTGGCAGTGAAGGGAAATGTCCCGGATAAAAAAAAAAAAAAAAAAAAAAAAAAAAAAAAAAAAAAGACTGGCAGTGAAATTTTGTGCGTTAGAAGTTGGTTAGAAGGGTGGCTGCACTTTTGGGCCCTAAGCCCTCCATGAAGCGATCTGTCCATACTCTCGCTATGCAGGTACTCTATAGTAACCACTCACATTTAAAGTTTTGCTGGAAGATATTTGTGACTTTTCACAGGAAAAGGAGCCCATACCTACTGAGTTAAATTTTTTAGGCAAGTAATTTATAAAAAGTTGGATAAAAAAACTGGAGTTTGAGATTTTGATTGAATACTCTCTCTAGCGTTCTAGTGAATAGGGTTGTTTTTTTTTTTTTTTACAATTTACATTTAGTGAATAGGTGACGGATGGTTTCGTTTATTTTAGTGACATAAAAGAACTTGTTCTAAAGTTTTATGATGGATAATTTTGTGCCCCCAACAAGAAGGAATTGAATTCCGAAAGGCTCTACCTTGATACCAAATTTTTTGGATACTAACTTCGAATAATTTAGATATTAATCACTCAAACACTAACCACCAAGTGGTTAATAGATAAGCAGGTTCAACTGCCCATGTGAAGGTAGCCCATGTCTCAGGAGAGGTCATGTGCTCTACATAAAATTGTTGGTAAAGTTGAAGAGCGAATGATTAGAGAAATAAATTGTAAAAATGAATTAAAAGAGTTTCTAATTGGCAGCGAATATTATGAAATAGGTGAGTACATACATGAATTACCACTATAATGAGTAAAATCGTCCTCACCTCACCTATTGTACTCAACTTGCATCCAATTTTATTATCTCGAGAAATATGTTCTCTTTCAAACTCCTTTCACTCTCTGCCAATACTCTACTATTGTTAGTGGGTTAGTTCATGAAGTATTTGTAATAGCCTTTTCTTTGTACAAGCAAATATAAATTATTATCTTATCCATCTTATTTTATCAAAATCACCGTAGCTCTAGCTTGATTGGAAATTTCAGAGCATTTTTCGTTCCAAAAAAGTTTGTGGATCACGTTTCTGTAGTCTGCCTTCTCAAACTCAGTTTGGAATTTTTGTGGACTACAATATGAGGGAAAAAAATATTGTGATTACCAACAGACTCTATGGTACCAAAAACTGTAAATTTAATTGCATTTAAAATTACAATACGTTACTTTTAATTTGTGATCATCAACAGGAAAATTGACTTTTGTTTTTGTTAACATAATCTTAAAAGTTAAGTTATTGAGTTGTAAAGCATGCAGAAGCTTACGACGAACATTTTGAGACAAAAAATGCTCAGAAATATGAAATCAAACTGTAGCTGTACAAGTTAAATTAAAACTATGCAATTCTCAAAACCAAGTTTTGAGAAAAAGCTGCTGCAATTTTTATTCTGCCACATTTCAGGCAAAAAATTGCCACGTTACAGTGCAAGATCTTTAGTGGCACAAAACTGCTGTGCTGAGGAAGAAAGTTGTGTGAGCCTTCAGATGTTGCCATATTTCCCTCAATAACAAACAAATTACTAAGAATACCTAGTGTGAATATTTTACTTAAAATTTTTCGGACAGTTTTGTTTGCAATATACTCTAAAATATCTGAAACTTTTAAGGAAAAATATGCATAACTTTCCTCAATAATACATATTTTATCCGGGGAAATTTTGCAACTCTCAAATGTTCATAAAATGTTCTTCCTTAGCACAGCAGCTTTGCAATTTTTCTTTAGGATACTAATGAGCATTGAAATCTCAAGAATAGATTTTTCAACCCGACCCAACAAGAATCAATCTACTAAAAATTACACATCCATGGACTAAGGCTCTTTCTATCATGGCAGGTTAAATAAATATTCGTTTGAGGGTAAGTACTTACCGGAGGGTTTTCCACCATCTTTTGATAGAACAGTCCAGAAGATTGAGTGATTGATATGCCCACCTCCATTAAACTTAAGGGCTGGGCCTAATGTGACGATAGCATTTGCATCATCTGCAAAAAAACAAAATTGGGTTATGAAATTATGGCTGCCCTTGCAAGTATTGGAAAAGTTATGATTGGAAAATTTGAAATTTGAGATTTGAAATTGAAAAAGAGGATAGAGATACAGGAGGAAAAGAGAGCATACATCATGTCAAATTACGATCATGGCATAGAGTGTTGAAAAAAGTAGAAAAGTTCATGGTGTGAAGGAGGAAAAACTCTTTAAAAAATTGTTAAAATAACCTTCCTGATCAGAGAACTTTTTTTATGGTTTTGTTTCTAATGTCAAGTCTTTCATCAATATTTTTTTTGAAATTTTCATAAAAATCTTACCAAAATTTTCAGATCTGTATCCCTGGTACGTAACAACAACCATAAATTTTTATGAACTCTTAAGAGAGTAAAAAATTAAGATTTCAGGAAACCTTTTTGAGTTTTTTCAAAAATAAAATTCATGTCAGATTACCTTCACTAATGGAAATTTTTTTAGGAAAAAATACGAAATTTTAGGAGTTTTTTGACACTATTTTTTAATTATATATTTTACCCCTTAAATTGATGGTCAAAGTGAGAAACCCCTCATCAGTGTTTACAACGTTGCAGACTTCCTCATTATACTTACTTTATTTTCGCTTTGGGAAACTAATCAACGTACTTTCTTGGAAACTTTCTTGAGTTTTCTTCTCTGTTAAGTAGGTAGCAGAATTATTAGTAAAAATTTCAAATTAAAAAGTTGGCTTTAGACTCTTCAAAAAGATAAAGTAAGAAATGTGGGAACTCTGCACATATGTGGTTTTGTATTTTGGCCATCCTTACATTTTAATTTAAAAAATATCCACCGGGGGTTTCCTGAGACATAATCATGAAATGTACATAAAAAATTGTGCTGGGTTTAAAGACGACTGCGTTTCCAAAATGTACTAAAAAATAGGAAAAGTAAAATATCCCACTTTTCGCTGTAGCTTCCTGAAGTTTTTCGAGTGCGACATTGTAATTCGTAACATAGGCTGCATGATGCTTGGAATGATGAAGCTCCATAATTTCACCAGAAATCACAGGTTCAAGGTCTTTATAACCAAATGGTAACTTTGGTAGAGTTGCTTTATCTGACATAGATCGGTTGACAACATTCATGCAGGTTCTAAAACAATTAAAAAGGTGCAAAATTAAAGAAGAAAGCCTTTAATATAGTAAAAACTTGAGTCGGTGGCATTGCCGAGCTTACTTTTCACAAAGAAACTGTTTACCTATCTTTCAGTGATTTCTCCTACTAAACTCAAAACCACAGCCTTGGAATGGTATTAAAAAGGTTTGCGGTTCTGGAAGAGGAAGATAATTTTTTAGAGGCAAGGGTGAAAAGACCTCTTCCGGCAGTGACTTTTCAAATGTGGCATTTTGTGGTGGTTTGGCACCTACTGGACTTGCTTGAAGACACTGAACTGAAAGTTAGCTTGTAAAAAGCAAACAACAAACATTGGATATCCTGGCTCTTGGTGAAACTGATAGAAATACGCAAGAAGCTAAGCTTACTCTATCATCGAATTCAGACTTATCTTTCACATTGTAAGGAATATACAATGACTTCCCTCTAACTCATGTACGTCAAATTTTTCTGTACTTAATCTGGGTTGGTTGAAGTGATGGCAACCAGCTTCACATATTTTGGAGTTACTTACGCGGAGTAGAAAAACCTTAAATATTTACCACAAATGATAGTTCCATCAAACTTTTTAGCAGTAGGTATATGTGTCAAAGAAATGGACACTGGAACCTTAGTAGTAAGATGCTGTTACAATGGCTCCTGTAAAGGTAGGGCTAGAACATAATATAAGCACTTTGCAGATGTATAGACTGTCATCAATGTGATCTATCAAGCCATGCTTGAGTCAGTTTATTGCGAAGCGCATGGCATTACAAGACAAGGTACAGTTTCTCCCTGTACGTAAGAATAAGAGAATTATAAGCAACTGTCGACAAAGTAGGATAGGTTGGGAAAATGAATCTCTGAAGGATAAGATGTATGGAAAATCTGAGGAATAAAAGCAAACTCCAAGTCAGGTTTGGTTCAGGATGTAAAGATAACCTACAAAGACTTTAAAATCTTACCGACTGCTGGCAAGAGAGGAAGCAATTTTTTTGGAGCACGCAAACATGTTGACGGTTTCTTGCAATAATAATGAGGAATTAAAAGTTAGGCACGGAAATATTTCACGTAAAGAGAGTGATGCCGAAATTTCTCACCCCGGTGAAAACCCTGACCACTGACAAAACTGGACCAAAATTTTAGTGATTTAGTGATAAAGGTTATCAAACACTTGATTGTGCAATCCTCTTGGCGCACTCTAGCGTCTCAAAAAGCTATCTGCTAGAAAATAGTTCGGGAAAAGCCTGGCAGATCGCGCTGTGCAGGAAATGGTGGCGCAAAGTTCAGAAGTTCAGAAGTTGGTGGTTTCAGCAAAATTCGAAAAATGATTTTCGAAAATTTCCTAAATTCGTAAAGCGATAAGTGGCGAATGAAGGGAAGGTGAGCCGGCGTTAGGGATGCATCTTAGTTGGAAGGGAAAGAGCCATTATTACGGCAGAATTTGGTGCATTTTTAAAAAAATTAAAATTGGAAATCGACACCAAGTGTCAGTATCATTGTCTAAATTAATTATTCTCGAGAAGGTCGAACAGACAGAAGCGTTACGTATCTTCTTTTTTTCATTTTATTTATCTATATTTTAATTTAACTATCCATTTACTTACCTAATTTAACATTTTCCTGATGAGGACACAGACTTTTGGTACGGGTGGAAGGGAGGGAGGGGGGGTCGGAAATAAGTAAAGCCAATATACAGCGTCTCGCAATATATATTCTTGGTTTCCTATAACTCCGTATTTCATGGATTTCAGTTTTTATATGTTTGCAGACTTTACCCGGAAAAGTCCACATTTTTAAGATTTTACCCGATATTTTACAACGTACCGCGCTCAGGTCTTATGAGGATGACCTTCAAACTTTTCATTTTATCCGAGTCTCATACTTAATACACTCAAACTTAATGTCATTTCTCACTCCATATTTATAATCCTGTGACACTGTGCGTTTCATGGTCAGTTATCATGAGGTGCGCCTTCAGCCAGACCCCTAACTCTTGAGCGATAACTATTCAAACGCAGCTGTCGTGGTATTGCATACGCATCGATTTGAAGGCGATTCTCACTAACGGGGTGATGGTCGGTTTTTGCGCAGATGAGTTATACGCGGCAGTCATTTGTATTAGTTTTTGTTTCTATTCAACAATTTTCTCACAAAAATAAATTGTGAAAATTTCACCTTGCAGTTGTTATTGGCTATTTTACTATAGGTACTTATATTTTTTGGCGCGCACGTAAAACTTATTACAAGATGAAATAATTATCACAGGATGTGTAGTTCCGTTATAATCAGGCCCGGACTTAGGGCGTGTGCGGGGCGTGCGGCGCACACGGGCGCCAGCCTTTGGGGGGGCGCCACGAAGGAAGAAGAGAGGGAAAAAAAGGGGGGAAAAGGAAAAGGAAAAAAAGGGACGAAAGGACAAGGGGAAAAAAGGAAAAGGAAACAAGGTTGGGCAGTGAAAGCAAGGAAGAAGGGGGGAAATGGAAGGAGAAAGGAGGCAAGAAAAGTGAAAAGAGAGTCCGCGAGAAAGAGGAGGGGGGCATAAAAACCATAGACAAAATATAAAAAGAATTGCCGTCTAAAGGTAAATTTTCAGGACAAAAATTCCACCTGGTCCATAGATGGTCAGGCGTCCCTTGACCCTAAATTTGCGGCTGTACAGAAATACAAGAGTGGGCATGTAGTAAGGGGGCGCCATAAATCCATCGAACAGGAGCCGACATAGCATTTTAGGCCACGTCCGCCATCTTGGATTTGAGAATTTTTAAACATAGTAAAAATTCGAGTTTCCGGTCGAAAAAAACCCTCAGACACCGAGTTTCAAAAAAATGCATCGAATAAGAGTCGACATAGCATTTCAGGCCACGTCCGCCATCTTGGATTTGAGAATTTTCAAAAATCGACTAAAAATTCGAGTTTCCCGTCGGAAAGTACCCCTGATCCCGCGGATCACAAAGCTCTGACAAACAGAAACGGAGGCCAGAATCGGGGCTCATTTTAGGCCACATCCAACATTTTGGAGTTGAGAATTTTAAAAAATTGACAAAAAATTCTAGTTTTCCGTTGAAAAATACCGTGTGATATCGCGTTTCACAAGACTCGAACAAACAGAAACCGAGATAGCATTTTAGCCCACGTCCGCCATCTTGAATTTGAGAATTTTAAAAAATGGACTAAAAATTTGAGTTTCCGTCGAAAAAACCCATTGACACCGAATTTCAGAAAAATCCATCGAACAGGGGCCGAGATAGTATTTTAAGCCATTTCAGATTTTCGAATTTTGAATTTTTTGAATTTTGACAGATTTTGATTTAAAACGCGTGATCCCCAAAATCGAAGCTCAGATTCGGATTCCTCGTAAAAAATCGATGCGATTTCATGTATTCCCCTGACACCGAATTTCAGGAAAATCTATCGAACAGGAGCCGAGATGGCATTTTAAGCCACTTCAGTCATTTCGGATTTTTGAAGTTGAAAAATTTTACTTAAAACGCGTGATACCCAAAATCGAAGTTCAGAATCGGATTCCTCGTAAAAAATCGATGCGATTTCATGTATCATACCCTGACACCGAATTTCAGGAAAATCCATCGAACAGGAACCGAGATGGCATTTTAAGCCACGTCAGTCATTTCAGATTTTCGAATTTGGAAAATTTGACTTAAAACGCGGGATACCCAAAATCGAAGTTCAGATTCGGATTCGGATTCCTCGTTAAAAATTGATACAATTTCATGTATCATACCCGCGCATAGCGTGAAGGAAAGAGACGTAACGTAGACATACTGATTCGAGCATATGAATCCAACGTGGCAACATGGGTAGTGCTCAGTGGGTCAGCGGAGGAGGAAGAATAAGAATTTGTCTTGAGGAATTCCTCGCGACGAAACCGAACGCTTAGCCGGCGCTAACTGGCGCCTCCCCGTTCGGTTTCACTCGGGCGACAGGCGGCGGCGTAGTTCAAAGTGGAAGTACGACAGAATCTATACGCGTCGTTAAACCTTTTTCCTTCACGCTATTCTAACATATGATACATGAAATCTCATCAATTTTTCACGAGGAATCCGAATCTGAGCTTAGATTTGGGATATCACGCGTTTTATTCAATTTAAAATCGTAGGAGAAATTACAGAATTGTCCTTGAAAATTGATCACGCATTAGTGTTTTTTACGTCATTAAACCTCTTTCCTTCACGCTATTCTGAAATTTGATGCATGAAATCTCATCAATTTTTCACGAGAAATCCGAATCTGAGCTTACCCAATCGGAAATTTGACCTTGGTACAAGCTTAGTATGACATTTTTTCACATTTGAATAGAGTTGCCACGCTTATCTTGCTAATGTTCCCACAATGTTAGCAGGACATTTATTTTACCTCTGGGACAAGCTTGAGCCCAAAGATTGTGCCAAGGTTAGGTTTGTAAGACTGCTCCAAGCCTATCCTGACAATATTGCCACAATATTGGTGGGACATTATTATACTTCCGAGTCAAACTTGGATATTCAATGTTGTGACAACGTTATGTTAATAATATTGCTCCAAGCTTGTTCAGCGGATATTGTGATAATGATGTTGCCATATACTTGATGTTAAAATATTGCCATAGTATTGGCAGGATCTTTATTTTACCTCTGAGATAAGCTTGGATTTCCAATCTTACTTCTGAGACAAGGTAGCCGATAGAACACCGTATTACCTGCCGTCCTCGCGGAGGAAATTTCATAGCGTCGCAATGCCTAATGTAGGCATACGGAACATTGGAGTGCCGAGGAACCTTCCTAAGTCAGCTACTTTCTTGGCTGCTTGCACTGGCTGAAGTATTCAACTTACATCTCACTTGTAACGGGCACTGCCCAGGCGAAACGAGAACCAGCCCCATTGACGGGGCGGCCGCGCGCGGACCGTTGCCAAAAAGCTCCATTTGAGCCCTTGGCCTAAGAATGTCAGTAAGATGGGTTAGACGCCTATGGATCATGTGCCTATTACGTCAAAAAGCGAAAGGTCGCAGTTTTTGCCCTTTAATTTGCCCTTAAAGGGACCGAAACGGCAGATCCGCGGCGAGCGCGCCCTGGTGGCGGAAATAGCAAACGCGGTCGAATTGTGCTCGCCGCGCACAATATTGTGTTAATCTTATGACAATATTAGAAACAGAAGCCTAAAATGTTTATTTTATTAATCTTGTGACAATGTTAAAGTGCGAATATTACCACAATGTTGTAAAAATAATGTTAGCATCATATCAATTCAGCAGTTTTAGATATCCAATATTGTGTCAATATTATGACAATATTACGAACAGAAGCCTGTTATGTTTGTTGTTCTAACGTTAATTGAATGTTAACATGATAACAATACCGCAGTATCACAGAGATAACATCGTCTCGATATTATTTTAGCAATTTTGTTTTCCTAATATTGTGTCAATATTATAAGCAGAAGCCTATGTTCAGTATTTTTTTTAATAATGTGCCAATGTTAAAACTAACATATTACTGCAATATTGAAAACATAACTCTACGACAGTATTAGTTTACCAATATTGTATAACCAATATTGTGACAACATTGTGACAATCTTGGAATCACCGAGCACCACCTGACCTTGGATTTCTAATGTTGCTAATATTGGTGCAATATTAAAATACTAAGGTTATATATCCAGTATTGATGGTATATTGTACCAAGATTCTCAGGCCAACCTTACTGTTGAAATATGCTCACAATCTCGCTAAGGTTGCCACAATATTATTCCGATCTGCCCAGGGTCAAATTTCCGATTGGGTAGATTTTGGATATTACGCGTTTTAATCTATTTAAAATCGTAGGAGAAATTACAGAATTATCCTTGAAAATTGATCACACTTCAGTGATTTTTTACCCCGTTTTTCTTCTACGTTCACGTAATGAAATTAGATCAACAGTTGACTCATCGACTAGTCTAGCCTAACCCCCCAGAATTGGTCTAAAGGGCGAACGATTTTATCAGATAAGATGTGCGGTCCTAGTTTCCTGGAAATTGCGGTTTGATGGAAGCTGCGATGAGGAGAAACGGAAGATATGCGAAACTCGGGCGGATATTAAGTGAGAAACCAGGTAGGGGAAAGGCTTTCTTCCCGAAAATTTAGTGCTCGGGCCAACTTACATGATCACTGGAGC